TCTATAGCTTGTTTTCCTTGTATTCATTTAATTGCAGAATCTGATTTTATTACTCTATATTCTGTTCCCTCGTGCTCTCGTTGTGTATCTGTGTGTTTTTGCTCCCTGCTATACTTTGAAAAATTAATGTTGCGATTCGGTGGCAGATTCTATCCACAGACAGTGTTATCGACTCCCATATGAGTCCCTTTGTTGCAGTTCGACAAAGCATGTCATATTTTAGCATTTGTCATAGATATTCTTTTGCTTTGTTATCTCACTTCTTGCTCTGTGGTCTGCCATTTGTTTTGCTTTTGCAAGATTTATACCGTGTTTCTCTTTGTGACACAGCATGACTATGATGTTCCTGCTCTCAGAAGCAGATATACAGCGAAGCTTTTGCGTTTCAAAACATTTTGTGCTGCTCTCCAGTGCAACAAAAAGGGGAGTGTATATCTCTATATCTTGGCCTACTTTTATCTTGCACAGCATGCTACCGAGCTTTTGTTCCACTGCCAAAGAAAGATGCATATCTCAATAGATATAGATGTGCAATACATTACACTCTTTTATGCTGCTTTGATATTGCACAGCATGAGATAGAACATCGGTCTCTAAGTTGCGTCTAAGAAAACATATGGCGGTATCTACATATTTGACGTTATTAGTAACCGCTATGTTGCAGTATTCATTCACTTCAAGCAAGCACGTTATTAAGTATTATAGTAATACACATCTGCTTTAGTATTCAGGGGCACAAGGATTCAGATTGTACCTGTAGCCAATTAGTGTGTCTGTCAAGCAGAAAGAAAAGGAGGTGAGTTTGTAATTGATCAGATGAAGCACTTCTCTCTTTGAAAAGAAAGTGTTTTGATTTCTTTGTCTAAAAAGAAAAGAGAATGGACTTCTCTTGAACCCCTTTAAAAGCTGGTGTGTGTGTATGTGTGTGTGTGTGTGTGTGTGTGTGTGTGTGTGTTGTAAAGGAGGTAATGCAAGAGAGGCGGGTGACATGGGGGTGACAGTTAAAATAACAAATACATATTCTCCCCTGGGGTTGGCTTGATCAAATCACTCCCCCTCTGCCATTTTCACACACATTGCACACACACATGGGAGCGAGCACGCGCACACACATATGCACGTGCACACACACACACACACACACACACACACACACAGGCGCGCACAGTTGCACCAGCTGTGGTTAATGATGCGGTGGCAGTGATAGTATAACCGCCACATGTGGTCTCTTTGTCTGAGTCCAGCAGAGCACACACATCAGTCTCACATGCTTCAACCTTCAGACACCATCAACGACTGCAGCTATTTTCAGTGCATCGTCACACAAGAGCCAAGAACTACATATTAATACACTGACAGTGAAGGTTTGGATTAGCATTATTTTATTTTGCCAAGAAAATAATTTCATCTGGTTTTCGCTACTTTAAAAACTGTAAATAATAAACAGGACTTTTGATCACATCCTACTAGTGGCACGTATTCTTCCTGTTTGTGGGGATTGCTGATATGATATTGGGTTTTATTTCCAAGTGCCCAAATATTTGCTTCATAATATTCGTTGATGTGGTTGAAATACTATTTTCACCATAGCTGCTAAGGCAAGCGTCCACAGAAATTGTTAGTGTAAGCAGGTTGTAAAGCAGGAGGTTCCCCAGGTTAATTAGAAATTGACTTCAAATTGCTTTTTCAAAATAATGTAGAAGTTCTTCACGGCTGTTATTGACTGACAGTGAATAAATGGTGTTTGGAGGAAAATGAGAAGGAAAGTAAATGGTGGAATATTAAGCCTTAAATTAAGTATAAGACAATTAGGACTTTTGATGGAATGGTGGATCAGTGGGTGATAAGAGTTGATACAGATGTTTTGTCTTTGATAGTTAATAATAATCCTTGTTTTGTTTTGTCAAGTTGGTATATAAGAGACAGTGTACATCCTATGTATACCTGCCACCTATTTGGCAGCTTTTTAGATAAATCTTTAGCAACCAAATGCCGCAATCACACTTTGGTATTTCCAAATGTATGCACAAACTGTGCCACAGTATTCTGTGATAAATGAATAGATAAAAGTATTTTGGCTTGTGTAACCATGCTTGTTTACACACAGTGTGTAATTATTCACAGAGACACTCGGATTCAAAGCATCAAAGTAAACAGGAACTGGTTTGTCCCTTGCTCCTCTTTTTTTTTTATCTCAGTCAGATGAAACACTGTTTGTTGGTTTTTGTAATACCTTTTTTAACAAACACGTACTCTTCCAGCTTTCCAAACTTTGAAGAGTGCACTTGAAACAGTGAAACAACGTGAGTGTCCATACATTTTAAAAATACTGATAATGATACTTCATCGTATCAATAACAGCCTCCAGTTTACCCCAGTTACTCCAAATAATACTCAAAATGCTGCTGTGGATGTGAGCTGTTATGTTTATTTAATAGGATACACAATATGAATGAATTTTCTTATGTCAACCATCCATCCATCATCTTTATTGCTTATCCTCTGAGGCTTATCATTGGGTGAGAGGCAGGGTAAACTCTGGACAGGTCCACGTATCACGTGTAGACGTATACAGACAAATAACCATTCACACTTATGGGCAAGTAAGATAAGTCAATTCACTTTGGAAAGAAGCTGAAGAAAACTTGCGCAGACATGGGGAGAAAGCCCCAAATTTTAAGATGAGATAAATTGAGATTATATAAAATAAGATGTACATTTTTGTATTGATCCTCTGTAGAGAAACTTGAAGCAGCAGTGCAAGGGGAAAATATAGTAAGTGTAAAGAGATAGA